TATAAACTAGAAGTCTGCGGTTACTGTGCTACCGCACACCCATAACAGTTAATGGCTAACACCACCCCCCACCCCATCGAGGAGGGTTGTGCTTTGGTGTGATGATAGTTTAATTGCCGATACCAGAGTCCTTGATCGCCGAAGTTTTCTCACCCGGGTTAGATGAAGTTCACCGATATTTGCGATGTAATGAATGTTCACCTGCGCGCCTCCCGAGTGGCTTATTGCTTTGGCCGAATTAAGTCTTCGCATCGAATATGCAGTGGGGAGGTCCTTGCACTTGTTACTTTACTAGAGGTCCGTGAACTATGACTCAAGCGGCTCGCAGCTCACGTGATTGTCACCTATTTCGCGAGAATTTTGGCCTCAACGAACGTGTTTGTGCGGCACGGTCTCGTCAAATGATCCGCTGTCGTTCGTTCGGGCGTTCGCGCCCGAAGATGTCTTGCCGTTTTTTTCGACGCTGTTGCTTTGCTTGAATCTGATAAAGGACTGTAGACATCTCTGAACATAGACTGATTTACTTTCTTTACTAAACCTGGTTTGCGTAATTTATGCTGCCTCCAGATCTTCTTCGAAAAGTCTAAGCTGGAGGGATCTCAGAGACACTTAAATTCAACTTATACTTTTTCAAATTATTAAAAAATGATTGAAAGACAATATTTATGGTAGTTATTTTTGTATTCATTCTTTTTCAAAAATTAAATGCTCCTAAGATAATAAAAATCTACAGCAAAACGGCCAAATGAGAATCACCCATTTAGAGCAGCAGTGCTATCAGTATGGTCCGTCATGTTAAATGGAAGCCTTTGTATTTGAAAACGTCTCTGTATTCCACGTAAACCTTCATGCTTTTGCTATGATTTTTTGAAGGCCCTGCTAGCTTTTCAACGTTTTACAAGTTCCGTGCAAAAGGTGGCTTTGGCACGGCGTTTGACAAACTTACAAATAGGCTGACTTAATGCAATTTCCTTTAGTTTATCAATCTGCTGTACGCTTCTAACCGTCAGCTGAGTCATGCAACAACGGGATGCGGTGGAAAAGCCGTCACGAAATTTTTTGAATTCAATAAACCCTGCTGTCTGCGCTTGTTTTAAATTCGTACTGGGCAACAATTGCCTCAACCTTGCAAATGGCGCCGAAAGTAGGCGTTTTAGTGGGGTTGCTATTCGTCTGAAAATAACGCAGACAATAATGCAATTAGCGAACTAGGACGGCAGCAATAAAATTGGTAGTCAGTGCCAAGAGTTTGCAAAAAAAACATTTACCTAAAAAAAGAATTGGTAAAGGTTTAGCAGAAAGCCACTCAGAAAATGGACATTCAGGTTTTTTCTTCAAACGCACACACATAAAGTGCCTGTTACGCCAAAGTACATGAGAAAGGCATTGTCGTCCTTCGTGGGAATGGACCCAACCGGAGGGCGTTGCGAGCGACCGGGACACATCTTTAAGGGTGTCGCAAAACGCACAATCCAATCAGATTCACAGCAACGCCCTGTCCGTGTAGCCAATCAGGGCGCAGCATTACGATAACGCTTGCCTGAGCGTAGACAGGGAAGGGCAATTAAAAATTGTATGAATTGGATACTCTAAAAGGCAGTCTTCTGGCGTGCATTGAAAAGGCCCACTATCAGTCCATCATGAACTTATCCTCTTGCTGCCACGTTTGCCATCAAGCTGATGGGTAATCAAGCGCCCAAATTAACTCCCATTGTGCTTCTGTGTCATGCTCGCAGCGTCCATGTTCACTCTCCATAGCGGTATTTTTGCCCGTGTGGTGGAAAATATGATGTCAGACACAAACCCTAATTGGGATTTTGATGCAGCACAGCAGCCTGTCACTAAATCTGACCCCCAGATGGACCCCTATGCTAGCGTCCTCCTACGTGACAACAATCCGCCCTATCTGCATACAATCCACGAGGAACTGGAAGAGGAGGATAGCGAGATGGCCCACTATAACTCGTTCGATAGCACAGAGAACAGTGATGAGAAGGCTACTGTTCGGCGA